TGAAAAAGATCTAGGGTTATGACTACTAACAGTCCAACTAATTCTTTCAATGGCCATACCAATAGATTTTCGTGAGTTACTAGTTGCATGTTAATATTACATACTAAGCATCTTGTTAATAACTCTAGCCCTATGTAACGTTTTCAAACGCATATATTTCTACGATCGTCAGATAATAATACCAACCTTCTACTTCATCATATTTATCAGAAAAACCACACACTATTAACTATGGAACTCCAATATACTTTAACAAGTTATATCTATAAAATACAGAAGGTCAGATTCCTATTCTTTTCAAATTTGCATCAATTTTTAAAATATACAATTTCTAACTTAGTAATCTATATACAACCAATAATGAAATTACTAGCTTACAATCAATCCTGTAATATATAGAATAAATAATAAAATATTATAAATTGTTACTAACATTATGTGGGATCACGAAATTTAATAACTTAATACAATTACCAACTAATCCTATTATCGACCAAGAAAATTAGTAATAACAATAAATGCTTGCATATAAAACAAATAATATTTTTTTTAGAAGAAAAATGAAGAAAAGAGAGTCAATAAAGAAAGAAGAAAAATGAAGAAAAGAAAATCGAAAACAAATAATTTTAATTAACATTTTTCGAAATCAACAAAATCTCTCCTATCTATACCGTCTTCAAGCAAAATATGCTAAATTAGGGCCCACCTTATCTCAATGCTGACGAAAACCTTATCATTCCTATAATAGATAAAACAAATAATAAAATATTATTAGTTGTTAATAACATTATGTGGAATCACAAAATTTAATAGCAAAATACAATCACTTACTAATCCTATTATCGACCAAGAAAATTAGTAAATAACAATAAATGCATGCATATAAAATAAATAATGTATTTTATTTTTAGAAGAAGAATGAAGAAAAGAGAGTCAAGAAAGATTAAAGAAAAAATGAAGAAAAGAGAATCGAAAACAAAGAATTTTAATTAACATTTTTCGAAACCAACAAAATCTCTCTTATCTACCGTCTTAAAGAAAAATATGCTAAATTGGGACCCACCTAATCTCAATAAAGAATTTTAACTAACATTTTTCGAAACCAACAAAATCTCTCTTATCTACCGTCTTAAAGAAAAATATGCTAAATTGGGGCTCACCTAATCTCAATACTAACGGAAACCTTATCATCTTTTCCTGAACAGATACAACAAATCACAAAAATATTTCTAAATCTCTTTATTCTAAATCGAGTCGGTAAATACCACTACACCTTACATCCTTTTTAAAAGAAAAACTTCTAAACTCTAAACTCGTGAATCTCTAAATATCAATTAGTATTTTGATACTCTTTTTTCCAAAAGAAAAACTCGTGAAAACCTAAACTCTTTCCCTAAATTTTAGGGATTAATAATTAACTGAAATCTCAAATTTAATTATTTTTCAACTTTCAAAAGATATAACCTGTAAAAATTGTAAAATAATTAAAAATGCATGCAAACAAATTCAAATAGTAAAAGTAAACAAAAAAAAATTCAAACAAAGCATATGATATTGATAAATAAAATATAAGAAATTTTAATAAAATAATATTCTTCCATTCAAATTTTACGCGCCCTTTTTAACACTAATTAATGTAACAACTTAAATTGCATTTTCCTAATTATATAATCTTATGACTATATAATTTATTGCATTTTTCTTAATTATATATTCACGTGATTATATACTCTATCACACTTTCCTTTTTAATTTAAACAAATCACCTCATGATATACCCTTTTAAGCAATTATTGCTTAATTAAGTTACATAATCTAATCACATTAATCCTATGATTTATCTAAATGTATTTTCCCCTTTACAACATTCCAAAAACAAGATATTTCAATTATTATTTTTACGGACTTCGCATTGTTACTTTATTATTTGTTGTATTTTTTTCACCGTTTTCTTTTTTATGTGAATTTATTGAACTTGAGTCGAAAATCATTTAAAAACAGTCTCACTATTTTCATGAGATAATGATAAGATCTATGTACATTTTTGTTATCGTATCATTTTATTTACTATAATTGAACCATGATAGTGCGAATTTTTTTAACTTTAAATTGAATATTTTACTTGTAGATTTAATATTTTAAAAGTCATATTTGTTCATTTTAATTTATTTTTTTTACTTTTATTCAAGACGTAAATTATTTAATTTTTATTTAAATGTAGTTTTATTTTAATGTCATAAAAGGTTGTTTTTAATTAAAAAAAATTCGAAGTCTCATTATTATGGAGCTCACAATTTATTATAATAAGTTTAATTAATCAAGTGTTCATTGATTATAAAATATTTTTTTAATGTATATTTATAAACCATGCAACATCTCCTTGTTGACATATCAAATGTCATCAAACATAGTAAATTGAAAAATATCTATCTATATTATAATAATAGTAATTCATTGTTTTGAGTTGAATTTTTATAATTTTTTCCTTACGTATTTATAATGGTTGTTTACATTAACCTAAGCCAGTTAAAACCTCTATGCAGTACTCAAGTCTGATTGAACTAAAAACTTAATTCATTGATTACGTTACTATTGTTCTCAGTTGTGATTGAACTAATAACTTATTTTATTGATTACGTTAGATTTAGACCGATTAAAATCCCACGACATTTCTCAATTTTAATTGAACTAACAACTTAAACCTACGTATAACAGTTGATTACATTAAGCTAGACAGACTAAAACCCCTCTCTATCGTTCTTAATTTTAATTAAATGAAAAACTTATTTATATATTTCGACTTAAAAAAATCAATGAATTTAACAAAACTATATAAACATCCTTTTTTTTCCTTTCAAATATATTCAATGGAGAGAGTAAAAAAGACTCACTTCTAACAAAATACATGAAAAAATGCTCAAGAATATACAAAATTAGAAGCTTAATCACCAAAAGAAGAGTGAATTCTGCTATTGAATTTCGGAATTGTTTGGAAGCAATGAGGTGTAGGAAGCGGTATTTGGATCAATGGGCACCGAATGGAAGAAAAACAAACAAAAAAAAGTTGTAAGCTTTATAGTTGTAACTGTTACTTTTCCATTGTTTGATTACTTGTTCAACTTAGCAATGAGCTCAAGAAAATTGATCTTTAGCTCATTTGGTTTTTAGTTCACCATTTTCTTGATTTCACATTGTGTTCTTTTCCATGTTTTCAGAGTTTTTGACACCTCAAAAGGGGGGAAGGTTCTAGACAAATTTTGCCTATATAAGTTGAGTTGTGAATTGTTGGTGTTCAAGTTATAGTTGTGGGGTTCTTTTATTTTTTGAAAATTTGGGGTTTTAAGCATTTTTGGTGTTCAATTCCATTGAAGTTTTGGTTTTTTCAACTATTTAGTTTGTGGGTGTTTGTGTTTTCTTGTTTTTTTGAAGGAACTGATCATCAGTGGTTTGGTCTAAGACAGCTAGTTAAGCTGTTGTTGTTCAGGTATAAACCTAAAATGCTCAATTGGGGTTGTATTGATGATCAGTTTCTTTACAGTGTAGCTTTCAGCTTGTTGTGTTGTATAACTGAGGTTTTCCATCTTGAGCTTTGAATTATGCTTAGGCATTGTTTTTTTTTTTTTTTTTGGTGTTAGGTCTTATTTCAAACCATTTTGAAGCTGAGTTTTGAGGTTTTGCTATGTAACTTCATGTAGTGTTATACTGTTACCAGTTTCAAAAATAAATGTATCATGTTGTGTTCTTTTAGTATTTTCTTTAAGATTTATGTTGTTCCTTTGTTGGTATACCTGAGGTTTTCACTCTTGAGCTTTGAATTAAGCTTAGGCATTGTGTTTTTTGGTGTAAGATTTGACATCAAACCATTTTGAAGCTGAGTTTTGAGGTTTTGCTTTGTATATTCATGCTGTGTTTTCATGTTACCAGTTTCAAAAAACAATCATGTTGTAATTTTAGTAATTTATGATGTTCCTTTGTTGGTATAATTGAGATTTTCCATCTTGAACTTTGAATTAAGCTGAGGCATTGCGTTTTGTTCATATGAGATTTGATATAGAACCATTTTGAAGCTGAGTTTTGAGGTTTTTCTTTGTAAACTCATGTTGTGTTTTAAGCATTTTCTTCTAGATTTATGTTGTTCCTTGTTGGTAGAACTGAGATTTTCCTTCTTGAGCTTTGAGTTAAGCTGAGGCATTGTGTGTGTGTTTTTTTTTGTTTTTTTTTGGGGTTTTAGGTTTGATACCAAATCATTTTTAAGCTGAGTTTTGAGGTTTTTCTGTAAATTTATGTTGTGTTTTTAGCATTTTCTGTAAGATTTATGTAGTTCCTTGTTTGCATAACTGAGATTTTCCATCATGAGCTTTGAGTCAAGCTGAGGCATTATGTTTTTTTGGGTGTTTCATTTGATACCAAACCTTGTTTGTATTTTCTTGTTTCTTGAAGGAACTGATCACCAGTAGTTTGGTCCAAGACATTGTCGGCAACTTCTTCAGCTGTTGTCATTCAGGTAAAACCTAAAATACTCAACTGGGATTGGGATTAAAGTTTAATGGAAGCTCAGTTTCTTTAAATTTTAGATTCAGCTTGTTGTGCTTATAGCATTTTCTTTATGATTTATGTTGTTCCTTGTTGGTATAACTGAGATTTTCATCTAAAGCTTTGAGTTGAGCTGAGGCATTGTGTTTTCTTTTTGTTCTTAGATTTGATACCAAGACCATTTTGAAGCTGAGTTTTGAGGTTTTGCTATGTAAATTTATTTAGTGTTTTTAGCATTTTCTTCAAGATCTATGCTGTTCCTTTGTTGATATAACTGAGGGTTTCCATCTTGAGCTTTGACTTAAGCTGAGGCATTGTGTTTTTTTGGTGTTAGATTTGATATCAAACCATTTTGAAGTTGAGTTTTGAGGTTTTTCTTTGTAAATTCAGGTTGCATTTTTAGCATTTTCTTTAAGATTTATGTTGTTCCTTTGTTGGTATAACTGAGGTTTTCTATCTTGAGCTTTGAATTAAGCTGAGGTATTGTGCTTTTTTGGTGTTAGATTTAATACCAAACCATTTTGAAGCTGAGTTTTGAAGCTTTGCTTTGTAAAATCATGTTAAATTTGCATTTTTTAGCATTTCTTAAATTAGGCGTTTGGGCATGAATTCCAAATACTTTTTGCTTTATTTGGAATTTATGATGTTGTATCCCCTTTTCAAACTGTTTGGCAAGCTTTTACTTGGCTGAGGGTCTATTGAAAACAATCTCTCTATGTCAACGAAGTAGGGGCAAGGTGTGCTTACACCCTCCCCAGGCCTCACTTGTGGGATTACACTGGATTATTTTTGGCCTCATGTAATTTGATCATGCATTGTCTCTTTCCAAATTATTTGGCATGCTTTAGTTAAACCGAGAGTCTGTTGGAAACAACCTCTCTATCTCAACAAGGTAGGGGTAAGGTCTTGTACACTCTACCATCCATACCCCACTAGTGGGATTACACTCATTATGTTGATGTTGTTGTTAAAATTTATGAAGTTGGAAAATAAGGTTTGGAGCACTACTACAAATTTGGAATCCAAACTCCAAGTTGGATTTGGAAATTTTATAACCGAACTCTGATTTTGAAATAAAGTGAACTTTTCCAAAGAAAAAAGTGAGTGTTCCTTAAAAGAAAACATCACTTGAGTTCTTTAGATGCTGATTTTGAGATTGATATATTTGCATTTTCTTATTCAACTGCTATGAGGTTTAAAGTATGTTAACTTGCTTTATGGTAGTCGGTAGATATCATTTCCATTGTTGTATACGAGTCTTGGCTCTTGACCAATGAGGTTTTCCCTGCAAATTTGAGATAATCATTTTCATTTACGTTCCTTGTTTTATCCCCAAGCACGTGTTGTCATCTTTTGTAGTTGTGAGATCAAATATGGATCGGTTATAGGTTTTCAAAAATTTGGTTTATCCGTATCTGTTAAATTCAGAATAAGTTATCCATTTTTGTCGTTATCGTTATTTATCATTTCCTTGTTGTCGTTCTCCGAAAATATATTCTAAATCTTTCCTCTCAAAGTTGACCATTTCTTTATTGTCGCCCAATTGGATACTCGACTAGCTTTGTCATACTCATGAATGAGGTCACACAATTTGGCACGTTGTTTTTAGTACACCTTGACGTCGTAAATATTAATTTTATATCCGATTTCATTGGACATTACGTACTATTAAGCGTTCAACAATTTTAGACATGTGTATGACAACTGAATGTGTTGACAGGATGACTTCAGAAGTTGGCATGAATTCGACATCTGTTGAAGAAGCTAATGCTGGAGGAAATATAAGAAGAGGCACCCCACTGAAAAAAGGTCCTTGGCTTAAAGCAGAAGATGCAATTTTAAGGGATTACGTCGCAGAGTATGGGGAGGGGAATTGGAGTTCTGTCCACAGGCGAACAGGACTCGCTCGCTGTGGGAAAAGTTGCCGTTTGCGGTGGTCAAATCACCTAAAACCATATTTAAAGAAAGGTGCTTTCACTCAGGAGGAAGAGCAACTCATAGTTGCAATGCACGCTCAGATAGGAAACAAATGGGCGCGAATAGCTTCTGAGGTTTGCATCACGTCTCATTTTCTTTTCCAGAAGCTACCTTATTGTTACAGAGAAACTATATGAAATGATTAAAAGCTAAGAATGCTATGTGATATAAATCTTAACTATTCCCAGTGATTTTAGTTACAGTTCAATATATAGTTTTGGTAAACAAAAATGTGTCATTTTCTTATATTACCATTTAATTCTTGCTCTAACTCCCTACTTAGTTACTGTTGTGGATTCATGTATATAGAGGTCAGTGTCATTTTCTTGGTCAAAAGTCGGGGTCGGCTTTGAAAAAAAATTGGTTTGGTATTTTTGGCAGACTGTTGTGATGGTGGGTGCCACTATAGTTTAACTATATATCTTTCTTCAAAGTTATGTACATTTGCACCGAAATATAGCAGAAGCTGATGAGTGTCAGTGCACCCTTATGTCCCTTTATCTCTGAATATAGGTCTACCTCTATAGTTTAGCCTCAACATACTTATACGTAACATTCGGTGTGGTTGGTAAGGTTCATACAGCGTTATCAAAAAGTCATTTAATTATTGTTACACTTGCATTAGGTTTGGGTAGGAGTCACTATGAAATTTAGAGGACCATACTAGTTTTTGTTAACACTTAATTTGCCTAAAAAGACGATTTTTTATCATTTTTGGGATGAGAGGGATCCGAGTAAACCAGATATGGAGGATTCATCTTTTTTATATTTTTTTATATAGAGGATTCACATAGCGGGCTGTGAGTAGTTTGGATCGAGACCTATTTGTTGGTTGGTTGGTTGTTAGTGATCCCTTGGCGAGGACCGGGACATGTACTGATTCAAATGAATGGGGTAGATAGCCAGTATCATTTCCAGGCAAAGAAAGAGAGAATGAAATTACGGAGTGCTACCTCTTATCTGCTAGTGATGATTCTCTCCTCCTTTCCTATCTTTTATAATATTCAGGCCCGTTTTCCTTCATCTTGATGTTGCTTTAATTGAACTCTTGCAGTATATGTTATGCAGTAAAAGATGGTGGTCTTATGTGTGGCGAAACTTGTATGCAAATCATGTTTGAATATTACTTTGTGTGGACTAAAATGTGGACTCTCCTCTTTCTTTCAAAAGATTTATTTGTATAGCTTTCTTTTTCTAATACTGATTTTGTGTGAACTTTCTCAATTTGAGTGGTTGGTAGCCATATTACACATTTATTTAAAGTTGTATAATGGCTATTAATTATTTTTTCATGGTCCTTCTACACTCTCAGTTCCCTGGCCGCACAGACAATGATATAAAGAACTTCTGGAACACCAGACTAAAGAGACAACGGCGTGAAGAAAAATATATGCTCTCTCCAGGTGTTTTTTTCGGGGAATTTAGTGAGGACAAACAAAATAAGGAGCTGGCCACATCATCCTCTGCAAATTCACTTCCTCATCTCTTGCCTAATAACAATGTTGAGATTCCAACTGCGGAAAACAGAAATTTTGAACCTAGTCAGCAGTTGTATCCTCCGAGGCTTCTTAATAATGATTTTAGTAGCTTTCTTGGTACTCCTGCTACTAGCTTACGTGATCAGGGTCTTAACTCTTCCTGGAATACTCATTCTGTCCCCTCAACAGTTCATTCATCCAAGCGTACACAAGGATTAGAATCCTGGTTCTCTAATCGAAATGTTGACCTTTCTCAAGCTCACCATCAATATCAAAATGATGGTTCTTTTTTTACTCAATCCTTGGGGTTTTCTTCGTTGTGTACTCATAATCTGACATCTAATTATCACCGATCATCTGCCAGTGAAATTCCTGGCATCCAGGCCTCTTCTTCAGAGCACAGATTGAAGGGTAAGCTGGAGCTCCCTTCTTTCCAAACTCCGATGACGAGTTGGGATTCAGCTTCCTCAGTTCCTTCAATTGAGTCCTCCAGTACTTTTATTCAATCTCCTCCAAATGAGTATACTGATTCTTGCAGTCTGTCACCCCAAAGCAGTGATCTATTGCATGCCATACTTTATGGATCACAAACACCCAAAGCTTCAAGCAGTAATTCATATCAAGAGACTTCTCGTGATGTAGTGCCAGATTCTTGTCCTGTTCTCCGACAGATTCAGTGGGGAACTAACCCTGATGCAATCACCCCTTCAGGTCATGCTATTACATCTGTGTTTAGTGAATACACCCCTAGCAGTGGAGGTTCATTGGAGGACCACCAGTCAATAGCTCCTTTCATAGGTGAGAATAACTTGATTGACTTATCCTAATTATCTGCACAATAGCAAGTGTTTAAATGCTTGATGTTTCTATGATTTTGAAGGATGCAATGTTAATCAAGAGATGGCTAACTTCACTCCTACTGCTGGGAATAATGATACATCAAACGACGATTTGTTTTCTGAGACTGATATGTATTTTTCTCCAAGTGATTGGCTTCGCGACTTGGAGTAAGAACCACATCAGATATGCTTTTGGGGTCTGCTCCAGTGCTCCTTTTTTCTGTTTATAGCAGGGACTACAAGAAAGTAGCTAACTGAGTAGCCACATTATCCGTTGATGGGACGTGATTGCTCTACCTCAACGAGAGCATGATTTTCGAACATAATCTTGATAAAACTGTAACTTCTTCAGCTTACACTGCAATACAACACAATGTAACATTTTGTGTCCTCTGTAAACCTTTTCTGTTGTAAGAACATGGTCTTATTAGTTATAGCTTGTATAACTGTTTGTCATCTTCAGTACTGCTGAAGCTGGTTTTCTGGCTATAAAATTCAGTTTTGTTTTACTGAATTAATCAAATATGTTTCACTGCTACATGAACTCAGTTCAAATGATAACCAGCTAAAGTGTGATTCGAATTTTATCGTCTCTAGCGGCCCACGTAGTGGAGGAATAGATATGATCCTACTACTCTTAAGTAGAAGTCTCAGATTCGAGCTCTAAGAATGAATAACGTGTCTTGGTGGGAAGCGCTTTACTGGACTTCACAGTAGAAGTCTCGGATTCTAGCTCTAAGAATGAATAACGTGTCTTGGTGGGAAGCGCTTTATTGGACTTCACAGGGAGTGAATTCAAATGGAAGCGGACAATATCACTAGAAAGGTGAACCAATACAAAATGGTACGAAAGTCACTCATGTGTCAACCTTATCGACGAAGGCCAGAAGTCAACTGAGTACAAGAAAATTCTGATAAGGCGGGTGGACCAATACAAATGGTATCAAAGTCACTCATATGTCAGCCTTGTCGATGAAGGCCAAAAATCAACTGAGTACAAGCAAATTTAGATAAGGTGGGTGGACCAATACAAATGGTATCAAAGTCACTCATATGTCAGCTTTGTCGATTGAGTCATGGTTCAACTATGTTTAGACAAATCCTGAGAAGGCAAGGCAAACTCAGTGCTAAGTCTAGACAAATCTCATGCAATGGGACAAACGTCAGCTCAGCGAGGACGCTGAGTCCACACCACAGCTTAAGATGAGAAGTCTCACGTCAACAAAACAAGGAGACTCTAGCAGCACAATTAGAGATAATTCATGCAAAAGCCTACTTGTCATAATAACACAGAGTCATACCAGAACTCACTAATGTCACGAAAGTACACATTGGTGTATTTAGCAACATTAAGATTATACATATCACACACACAAGACGTTTCATCAACGATGTCACAGAAACCTAATGAACATTTACCTTTCTATTACTATTGTTGTAGTTTCCCAACATTTCCAGTACATCCCCCCCAATATACATTCAACAAATTAACAATTTCCTACATCTAAAATCAGGTCTTTTGCCTGATCCTCCTCCCGTTGGTATCACCACCGTCTGAAAGTTGTGCCCAAACACTTTTTGACTTCCCACCTCCACTGCTACTGTCATCCTCGCAACCTGCCACAGTTTTAAGAAGCTCTGACTGAAGAGCGGGGCAATTTTCTTTAAGGTACTCAAAGCCATCTGATTGCATCACAGCTGCCAAAATACAAAAAAAATAGATGAATGGGAATCTGTAGTGTGAGAAAATTACAGAACACAACAGATCAATTTATTTATTTTTAAAATGGGAACACAACAGGTAACAACAACAATAACTACGCCTAACAGATGCAATTTCAAAATATGTTACTTTTGGATGTAGTAAAAGTAATCAAAATCTAACTAAACTCTGACAGTAGTCAGCCGTTAGCATAAGCAAGGTAATGTATGGCATTCATAACAACATTCAAATTAATAGCAATCTCTCATGGTGTAGCATAGCTTACTCACAAGAGTTTAGGGAACTCAAATTATTTTCCAGACTCCTGTAGAAACTTTTGAGAAGAGCTTCTGTAAAAACTTACGATTCTCACGATCAGTTTCAATGGTTTATCAGAAAACTTGTTCGAGAACAAAAGTCAAAATCTACTTCAAAAAGAAGCGGCCTTTATAGTTCCCACAAAAAGCACTAGAAACAGCACATTTAAAGTGTGTTCGGTATGCAGGAAAACACTTTATGTTTCCAATTTTCTCATGTTTGCTTGGTTAATATATTTTAGAAAACATTTTCCCTAAGGAAAACTAGCTCCTTAGAACTGAGGAAAATGATTTCTCTACTTAAGGTAGAGAAAACAAGTTTTATAAGTGACATTCCAAGTTCATTGTCTCATCCCCCATCCACCCAACATCACCAACAATCCACACCACGCTTGACCATCCCACCCACCCCCTATCCCAATATTTTCCAAATAAAAAATGTTTCTGATTCTATGTTTACAAGAGATTTGATTATATTGTACGACCATTAGCCGATTAGCAGAATCCTAACTACCAAAGCTGCTTGACTTCTATATTTCTTGTTCTCTGTTAACTCTTATTAGAAACTACCCGAGACATACTTAGCATTCAAGCCACAAACTGGCTGTGTATGAGCACCACAACCCAACAAGAGAGTTAAAACCTTGTCGGTAGAAAACACATCGCAGCACTTCCAATTTCTAGAATTCTTTTGGGAGAAGGTCAGCAAGAGAAAAACACATTCATACATACATATTTTATCTTGTCATTTCAAATTCATTTTCCATAAGCATGTAATTTCAGTGGTTAAAATCTATTTATATAAGAGATGGAAGTATATGACACCAACCAAAACCACTCAATCACTATATTGCAAATCAGCTAAATAGGGTCAAATTCTTTTTAGAGAATCCTCAGCAGCCACTATATGTACTTAAAAACTGTAAAAGATCTAGTTCTTTAAGAGAGTCATTAACAATCACATTGCGGTAAAACTAATTGCACATACTTGCTAAGTACCCAACAATTCTGTCAGAGAGTTTATGGTGGTTTGGCAATAAAATAATTTCCTATTAGCTAATGGAATGGTTTGTGATTTCCTCCTTATTATACATTCATTCATGTTGGATCGAAACAAACTTAAATGCTATGTTTTGTTGTATCTTTAATATGAAACATCGACCATGCGCAAGACTCCTAATCTTCTCATTATATAGTCCTATCATGTTTTTCATTTGATGCACCACTACTTCAGTCAACATCCTTCTCAGATGTCATTGCCACCCACCTCCCTACCTCTTGCTACAGGTCCACTACAAGTAAACTACAATAAAGAGATAAAGAAAGAGGTAGGTAAGTGGGTGGCAATGACATCTGAGAAGGAAGGTTGACTGAATAGGTAATGCATCAAATGACAAACATAATAGGACTATAAAACGAGAAGATGAGGAGTCTTGTGCATGGTCAATGTCTCATAGCAAAGATACAACAAAACATAGCATTTAAGTTTTTGTTCCAATCCAACATGGGAAGATACAAAACAATTTAAATCTAAAAGCATGAGATATCCGCAAAGAAGGGAACATGATGCAAATGCAAGTATCTCGTACCAGAAAGATTTTCAGCAGCAAAACTTAGGCAAACTGATTTGAGCTCAGCGGCATGGTAACGGTCTGCTAAAGCAAGAATTTGTGCAACAGAGTTGATAGAGATATCTTTGCAAAGATGAGATTCACACAACCTCCTCAGTCGTGTTAAATCATACCGATCAGCTGCTGATAACAATTTTGCTGTCAGAGTGTCAGATATACAGGGGGTAGTAGAAGTTCTAGTTGCCTCTAGCTCTTCTTCTACAAGAGCATCTTTGTATATGAAGTGCAGCATAGCCTTGTACAAGAAAAATCCAAAGAGTAGTGAGTTAGAATTACACTTCTAGCTTGAAAGAACTCTAATCTATTCTTAGCTAAAGCAATTATGAAGAAACAATTACAGCCAGACAGATGGAGAAATATGATAATGATATTAAAAACAGATATACATTGAAAAAACAGGAAGAGATGGAGTTTCTAAAAGAAAATAGCCATAATAAGCTAAAAGGAGATGCTCACTTTGAAGACCTTAGGTTCCATATCATTGACCACAATTTCCTGCGCATCGCCTTCATGTCCACACAAGAATTCAGTGTGGAATACAGGAGAACGAGCGGCCAATACCAACTTATGGGCATGAAACATTTCACCAGACACATTGAAAATAACATCTGAAGCTTCCATATTTTCCAAAAGCATGCCAAAATGTGTTCCCATGTCCGAGTCTGGGACCTGAATTGTATGCAAGCTCGAACACTCTATTGTGGAGCGCACGACTCCAACAGTGCAATTAATCTTCAAGCAGTCATCCTTCAAATACTCTGAAGTCTCAAGCAACGCTCGTCTAAAAAACCGTTTGTATCCCCTATTAGCACACAGATAAACTACTTCAGGAGAAGTCTTGAGTTGCAGCATAAAAGATTATAGCAAAAATAATAGAAAAGTTTGGTCAAGCAGGCTAATCAGGATACTATAAACAAGATTATTCTTCTTTTTTTCAAGTTCCTGTCAAAATGGAAGAGAATCCTTTTTCCCATTACAGGTACAAAAACTTCTCTATTTAGCTATAGGGAATCACCAAAGTCTAGTAATTTCTTTGAGTTAATTCAAAATTTTGTTTTTTACAACAGAAATACAAAAGGCATAACAATTGAACTTAAGCTGAGATAAAACCTAGATATTATTGGTATTTTGAGTAGATATAGTCCACTAATGCTAGTTCTAACATCAAAATCATTGGTTTTTTGTCTAGATTTTTCAATTCTACCAAGACTCTCCCGAAGGTGAGAAATTTGTCTCACTGCAGTTTGAGAAGGTGATGAATATTACCCACTGACTTACTGAGTTGGTATTTGGTAGAGATAAACCCCATGTAAAAATCATATCTTGTCAGCTATTGATGTTTTTCTTAATGGTCAGAACCAAAGTATTTCACAAATCCAAATCATAAAATAAAAATACTTAATAACATAATCCTCCAAATTGTCGTATTCTCATTTGTATTTCTCTTGCTCATCAAGTGATGATTGTCTCCTTCACCATCCTTGATGTGACCCTAGTGACTCAAAGAAAAAAGAGAGCAGAAGATGCCATTTGTTTGTTAGATTATTTGCACTATAGCAAAATGTGCTGTCTTGCCCCATTCTTTGCCCAAATAACACCAGCTCATCACAATCCGTCTCAACCATCTAAAGATAGATTCCATTGTCATACACTATTGAAAAAATCAGAAATGTGAGTCAAACTGTTGGCGCAAGTAGCATATGGAATGAATAGAATAAGATTAGGTTGTCTCGGAAGATTTGGGTATGTGCTGATTCCTGTGAGGATTTTTATATGGACCTGTCCATAAGTGCCATATTCTGATGGATTGAATTAAAAAATGGACCAGTTTATAGGTATGTTATGAAGATTGTAGGTGT